GAATGTTGGGGATGTCATTTGTGGTAGTCAAGACGCAAGTGTGAACGAATTAGAGTGCTCGAAAGGACAACTTTTCCGACAGCAACCGAACCTGCAACATTTGAATAACGCGTTCGATGCAACGATGGATGACCCAATCGGACGCCTTGTTCGAAGCTCGCAGCTTCGGTCCCGGCCGGTGGGAAGTAATGTTCTCGTCCACCTTAATTTCTTCACACTTATTTAACACGAATGACATCCGCTACACTTTCCATGGAGGAGAGGAGAAAAACTTTATTCAACAGAGGAGTTTGGAGCACGCAGGCTCCCGGGCCCCCGCACGACCCCTTTGCGCTCAAGCGTTCATTTGGTGGTGGTCCATGACGCTGGCAGCCCGGTCGGCCGCCATGGTCTGCTCAACCGGGTCCTCTGAGCGCAGTAGGGTCTCCCAATCCTCCCAAGTCTTTAGGTGCTCTAGGGCCCGCGGGGGAGGATCCGCCGGGCAGTGAGAAAGGATGTGTATAGCAGAAGCATGAGGTTCAGGGCCAAGGGTACAGGCTGAGGTGAGGAAAAGGGGGTGATAGTGCGATCCTGTACTTTCCATGTTTGACTCTCGGTCCATCCTCATTAACGCTTGCTTAAACAAAGGCGAAAACAAACTCTTCGGTTTCCCCATCGTCGGCTCCCTGGTTTGCGCATCTAGTTTGGTTGATCAAATGCACCCTGCAGGTTGACGCAGCTGCCGGAATGTGGCGCCCACGTAATGAGTGAAAAAGACATGGCTGGCCGGGGCTTCCCTCTTTTTGGAAGGCAGTCCTCGTGTTCAAGAGGAAGCGTTGTTTGTCACGCAGAATCGCTCGTGCTGCAGTAGGACATGCCGTGGTTTGCGAAGGCTAAAGTTGATACACACATTCCTTTTTCTTGAAATAGTGTTTGTTTTCCCACGTTGAAGCGTAACATTCCAAATTTGCTCTCAAATGACCTTCTTTCAAATACGTTAATGGAGAAGGCGCGAACGGCTCTTCCAATAGCAAGCATTAGTCCTTTCGTTGTCGATTTCATCGGTTACTCCATGGCGCCGTCGACATCTTCCGGGTTCTCGTTCTTGGCGAGGGCAAGTATGCGTTGAGGATTTTTTTTTTCCTTGGTGTGGTCTCGGGGTAGGAGGCAGCAGCGACAAGCCACGTGCGTCATATGTGTGGTTAACTCCTTCCGTCCCGAGCCCACAACCTGTTGGGATGGGTCTCGTTCCTAGAAGAAGAAGAGGAGGAGGTGTGCGAGCTGTCAAAACGAACGACGCTACTCCGCCCCCCCCCCCGGTGCCTCCTAGTTTCCTCTTGAGGTGGATCGGCATAGGCAGCACTCTCGCCGCCCAATGTAGTCGAAGCAGACACCGCTTTCCCTGCTCATATCGAAATTGGTTGCTCCGCGAATCCCCCTCCACTTAGCGTGTCACGGCTTTTGTGTAGCGTAGCTGTATCATATCATGATTAAACAAACGCAGCAGGGCCCTTCGGACGCACCGTGGACAACCTGGAACTGCCGTAGCGACCGATAACTTGTACGGCTTAAAATTTACGCTTCTGACAGCTCCAGCCCCGCCGCGGTGGTCTAGTGGCTAAGGTACTCGGCTGCTGACCCGCAGGTCGCGGGTTCGATTCCCGGCTGCGGCGGCTGCATTTCCGATGGAGGCGGAAATGTTGTAGGCCCGTGTGCTCAGATTTGGGCGCACGTTAAAGAACCCCAGGTGGTCAAAATTTCCGGAGCCCTCCACTACGGCGTCTCTCATAATCATACAGTGGTTTTGGGACGTTAAACCCCACAAATCAATCAATCATCAATCTGACAGCTCCAGTTGAAAGATTCGAGAAACCGCCCGGGAAATTGTTCGACGGCGAAGGATTTCAACGTCGCGACGGCCGCCTGTCGTACTCGGATGCCTTGCAAGCGGCGCTCCCGAGCGCGTAGGTGTTTACACGACTCGCCTGTCCTCGACCTGACCTTGCGTGGCGACCTCTCGCGGTTTTCCATCGGCGGGGATTTGCGGTTTGCTGAGCGGCGTTGGTGCACGCTCGTGCCCGTGGACCATTCCTTCTCCGGGCCGACCTTGAGGGGAGCCACGCGGGCGAGACCAATGCGATGCGGCCCCGCGGACGTCACAATGGCGCGTTACGTAGCGGCAGGGCGGCTCTGTCACGCGTCCATTTGGAGCCCGCCCGGCATGCCTGGACACAGTGCGGTTATTAATACTGCGCTTCTGTTTCTATACCTCCTCACCGTTATTCCGCGACGCGTCATTCGGGTGTAGCCGCGCCACTTATATGCATAGACTATTATTATTATTATTATTATTATTATTATTATTATTATTATTATTATTATTATTATTATTATTATTATTATTATTATTATTATTATTCCGGAAAATCGAACGCAAGAGAGTGGGGAACGGAACAACGGTTGGTTGGATATCTTCCCATTCTCGCGTCGTTTGTATTATTTGCCTCGTGCATGTCGCCTTGCGACGCCGATATCGCCATATAGTCGCCGCGAGCACGACTATATGCCCCCTCGAGCCCGTGGACCCCTTGATCGAGTCCGTCGCCATCGCTCAAGTATAATGCGTCGATTTAATCCGCACATTTGGCGGCCCTCTTGGGTAAGAGTAGATTCCGAGAGAGGACACAAGAAAGAAGTCGGGACGCACACCGGTGGAATGGAAAGGCACGGAAACTTATATCTTCATAAAGCTTAAAAGTTTCCGTGCCTTTCTTTCCCGCATCCGTGCGTATATTCAGTTCAGTCGTCACGGTAGTGTCCCTTCAAGAAAAGGTAGGCTTTGCCGGCACAACAACTGTGTTCATTCAACTTGTTCAGCGCGACAAGGTGAACAAAACGATATAAATAAATGCGCTACGTCGTACCCCTTTCACCGGCAGCTACGCAAAGGATGGCACGCTACTAATGACGCGCGTGCGTGTTGGATATTAGACGTCGTCGCCCGTGGATTGTTATAGTGCAGCGTCTGATTGTTCTTCCCGTGGCTTTCAAGGCACTGCACAGGACCAGTGTGGCGCGGTAACGGCGATTTTCCACCGTCTGCTTTTGATGAACGGCAGACCACAGTCTCGCTTATTGGGGAATTATTGTTCTCCAACACTGCCGCTATATACTACTTGTATACGTGGCCGTGCGATGTTTTCTTTTTTAAAGATGACAGTCTTTCTTGAGGACCTTCGACGCAAAAATTACGGTCTGTATGTTGTCTATCTGTTTGTCCGCCCTTAACGGAACCCTAAACGGCACCAAAGTGACCAAACGGTACTCTAAACGTCCGACCCCATCCGCAGCGCCCACCAATACTGCTCAAGGTTTAGCGTTCATACTTGTGAGATTGTCAATTAAAAAGCAATTATTGCTCATATCTGAGACACCATAGCAACACGTATATATTCTGCATTTCGTCTTTTACTTGAAAATGCATACATAAGTAATTCTAAGGACTGTAGCGTTTGTTACGTTGCGCTGACCATGCAACGCTTGCACGAAACGACAAGTGTCCCCAGCGCTTTCCTAAGATGACACGATGGTGACACCTACCTTTCTCCTTGCGTTCTACGCCTTATCACCTCCGAGACGGGCGCGCTGGACGCTCACGCTTCGTTTGCCGAGATAACTGCCAGATAGCGCTCATGTCTCAGGTGTGACATGACTTGATGCGCTCGTTCGCCTCCGCTGCACGCTCGAGGCACTCTTAACGCAGCGCCTCCAGAATACCATTCACCGATTTTCTTTCGCAGATCATCAAATAAACGTTTTGTTCACTCTCTCCAGACGCAAGACAATCGTCTTCCGACGACATTTGCAGTGTAACATGCAGATGCGGGGCCATTTTTTTTTCTTTCTTTCTTGTTCTTAAATTATTTGGGGTGGTGATTGCACGTGGGTCGATGCGAGACATCCGGCCACAGTGGGAGTTTGTTGCGCCGTAAATGCAGGATCTATTCGGAGAGAGGAAGGCTGGCTGTTCAAACAGCGCGCGCGCGGAAGCCGTGATCGCTGACACGCGAAGGAGTCGTCCCTTGCGTGGGGCGGCTTTGTCTCGACTTTAGCCGGCATCCTCCCTGCGTGGACCGAGGAGAAAGCTGAAACGCGTACGCGGCGGAAACGCCCGCAAACGAGAAACGGAAACGGCACGGACTGCTTTGCGAGGGGCCATTAATCAATGCGCGTGCTCGGTTTCGTATTCGTCGTCCCCGCGGTGCTCTCGTACGTTGCCTTCCATTACGCGAGCGGTACTCATTAGGAGTAATTAATGCGGGCAGCTTGTGTACGGCGCGTGGCATGCTCGCTTGGTATGCACGTGACGCTGGTGTGACGAGAGACTGGCTCGTTTTCTTGCTTCGCGCTTTTTTGACATCGGCTCGTTTAGTTGCGTTCGCCGGCGCTCGTTCGCTTGGCCAGGAGTCATTCGCGCACGTCTGGGCGGCTTAGTAAAGGAAACCTCGCGGCCAAAATGCGGTGTTTCCTATTTGTAGAGTGTCGATTAGTGGCTTGTACACTGTAACAAGACAATCCTTAATGCACAAAAGTACAGGGTTCGAATCATCAACACCGTAGCGGCTACCGGGAATATCATGCCGAAACATAAGAATAGCCTAGGGGCAATGAGCTTTATGCCGACTTCCACAGAGTACAGTTAAGGCTGCTCAGCTTTGTACTTTCACGATGCCGTCGAATTCGTCACCGCTTAGCTCTATTTCCTTGCTCACGTAAATATAGTAATCTCGCACATATGTTCTTTTGGTTAATAGTGAAATTAAAAAGTTAATAAATAAACGGTAACAGTGGCTCTTGTTTTCTAGCCAGCCAACCTTTCACTGTGTGTTCGCTTACAACTCACTTTTTTTCATTTGGAGGTATGTGTACCTCGATTGTTACATGACGAAGGGCTATATCCTTGTGTTGTATTCCGTTTTTGGCGCTGTGTCTAATTTTCCGACCCCCTTTTTCTGTCGCAGGGGCAGCAGCAACCTTCAGGATGACCTGGAGATGAGCGATAGCGACGATGACCAGGTGAGCAATATGTCCAGCAGCGCTGGCCTCGTCCGCGCTTCCGTGTTTCATATATATGAATGTTTCACATTCGTGCTTTATATCGAGCCGAGCCGGTTTTTTTTTTTTCGATCCATCCGAAGTTGTGATGTACTAGTACCTAAACAGCTACGTATGCGTGCTCTGTGCGCACATGGTTTGACGTCCAGACCTAGCGTCCACACCTATCCACGACGCAGGCTCCATGGCATCATCTTCGCAAAACAGCACAAACACGAGGAGACAGAGAGAAACACACAGAGATCAGCTCTCTTTCCTGTGCGTTTCCTTCTGTCTCCACGTGTTTCCATCCTCCGTGGGGAACCGCATTTTTATGATGTAGTCGTTCGCATGAAGGTATTCTGTTGGCGGCATCAGTTATTCTTCGTCAAACTGCATAGTGGTTTATAATCTAATCTTCCTTTGAACATTTAATCAGTAAATAAATGCGACAAGCACTGTAGGTTATAATCGTTTCGAGAGAAGAGCGTGGTACTGTATATCGGTGTACACACGGAGAGCACAGAACGGCCGCATTTGTGGGGCGTCGCTGTTTTACAGCTTTGTAAGTGTGGTATTGTGCTTTCCAGCCATCGAAATGGCGAGAGACACTGTAGCTCACAAACTTTCACCCGCCGTTACAATAGTCTGAAGTCAAACCTTTGCGAAACTCTTTCTCCGCACTTGCATGAATGAGCTTAACTATTGTGCAAGGCTAAATGACGCCTTTATTCGTAGTCGCAAGTCGCGCCTTTTTGTAGCCGACTGTGCAATTTTAGTGAACTGTTTATTTGCAGTAGCGTCGTTCAAGGTCACCGTGGCAAGAAAGATTCGAGAATGTGTCTTGACATCTTATGGTTCTCATTTCGGTCGTGGTGGTTGTCGTGAGACACAGTTATGCGTCTATTCTTATCAAGCGCGTGTTGATGCTATTCGGTTGGACGATGTGCCCGGTGTACCTCAACAACAAACTGTCACAACGCATGCGTACGAACCTCGCTGTCCCTACGCGGATGGTCGATGTCATCCGCAAACTTTGTTTTAAGAATCGTTGAACTCGTCTCCCTGTTTGCAGCCTTCGCAAAGATGCTGGCGAAATTTCAGCGCATTTGGTCTCGTATTTAATTTATAGTGAATATATATTTTTTTAAACACTCGAGTGGCCCGAGTGTCTGACAACACTGGCGTACTCGCGAGCCGCGGCCTAACAATCCTCCCAATTTGTGAGCGTCTGTGTTCCGGCCAACGATGTTGTTTTGCGGTTAGCGGCACGTACATATGCAATGGAGCTATTTCGGCTTTCTTGAGATTGGCGTTGAAAACGGAACTATGTACACAGTGACTGAAACTCGCGTAGAAGACGACAGCGCCGTGGCAAAAACGGTGGTCGTCGCCGGTGGAGTTCATAGCCGGTGACATCTAAGGCCTCTTTTGCAATGCAGTACCCTTTTAGGGTAAATTTGTTTCACGTATGTACAGTGAAAATAGGGTGACCGCGTTATGATCCCGCTAATTAACATTGTGCGCAATGATAACGCCGTCTCGTTAGTAGGCCGCTGGCCTTCTGCGGTCGCTTGTGAAAGATTGACCGTGCCCATGAAAAGCGTGAGCAAGGGGGTCGCATTTCGTAATTCCCCTCGGCCGTGTTCGGGTGCCTCGGGCTGTTTTCTCTCCGAGAGCGCTAATCACCGCGCTGTGAGCGCCTCGCGGGCTCGGTTTCCTGTCCGCTTAGTTATCGAGCTGCCGTTATTCAACGGCGCTTCTCTCCGTCGTACGACAGCTGCGCCTCAGAAACTTGCCGTTTCTCTGCAGTGAAGACGAAGTAACGTTGCTTGTGCAAAACAGACGCAGAAAATGGGTGTGCCGTTCTTCGAATACGACGGGAGTTATCAGCTTTAACGAAACGCCACCTCACATTTTTTTTGGCAGACTTGTTCGCGTATAGAATTACAGGAAGTTACGTTTTTAGCCATTTTAATTGACCGATTACCCTTTCGACAATTGAACGATACCGGGAAATGCAATGTTTTATAGATTACCACCGGAGAGAGCATCGAGAAACTCTAATGCCGCAATTTTATGTGCTATTATAGGTGCTGTTGCTTTGCGACGTGCTCCTTACTTTCAGGATGTATCTCGAGTGAGATTTCAGAGAAACTTTAATATGAAACGGGGGAAGATGGTGACCGACGAAAAATCAACACTTCGAAAAATTCGATTTAGTGGTAATGAAGTGAGATAGCACGCAGATAACGCAACGGAAAAAGTCGGTCCGGCTATTTCGGTTTGTTTTCTGTACTTCCATACAGAGAGAAAAAGTAAGGAAAGGTAATTGATTACTTTGAGTAATTTATTGTTTGCTTTCCTGGAGGAGCAATATTTCTGAATCAGTCTCTCCCTCTTTTTTTTTTTTATCGCAATGTGCACGTCTTCTTCAAGTCTGCCATTGAGGCTACCTGCAAATGATCGAAGTATACTGCGCGGTAGAAAACACGGGCGGAAAACAGACAAGGACAAGCGCAGACTATCAACTGAAAATTTATACATTAAGCACTGCATTCATATATAACAGGCAAAAAAAAAGAAAAGTAAGTTAGCATTTCAACAAACGACAAATTTCATACACCCGAAGCACGAGGCAGAATATCATATTCATTACACACTTGCGCCATTTGCCAGATACTGAAGCTCTTTATCTGAGAGGGCAATCGATGGTTGGCTCACGCAGTTGTCAGGTTTCAGCGCCATTTTCTATGCTTCAATAATCATGCGAGTGTGATCGTCTTTGTGCTTATGCAGCTGTACAGCTGTACTTTAACGCTGCGCGTGACAACCACACCTGCTGAACCTGTCAATTGTGTGAGCAAACCATCGGCGGCCCTCGTAGATAAAGATCTTCGGTATCTGGCAAATGGCGCATGTGTGTAATGAATCTGATATTCTCCTTCGTACTTCGGGTGTATGAAATTTGTCGTTTTTTAAGATTCCAACCTCTTCTTTATTTCTCACTTTTTTCTGTTTGTCATATATAAATGCATCGAGTGATAAAAAAAAATTCGGTTCATAGACTGTGCTTGTCCTTGTCTATTTCCCGCCTGTGTTTTCTGCCGCGCGGTATCATGTATCACTGACTGGCCCAATCGTCCACTTTGATTAGCTATCTGTAAACGTGCAAGAGGTCCAGCAGTACATGAGTAAACGCATTATCGTGTTTGTTGGTACTGCCCCGCCGCGGTGGTCTAGTGGCTAAGGTACTCGGCTGCTGACCCGCAGGGTGCGGGTTCGAATCCCGGCTGCGGCGGCTGCATTTCCGGTGGAGGCGGGAATGTTGTAGGCCCGTGTACTCAGATTTGGGTGCACGTTAAAGAACCCCAGGTGGTCTGAATTTCCGGAGCCCTCCACTACGGCGTCTCTCATAATCATAGAGTGGTTTTGGGACGTTGAACCCCACATATCAATCAATCAATGTTTGTTGGTACTATTGCTAAAGTACGTGTGACCGGTGTACAATTGCAAAGCCAGTTCACATAACAGCTATGCATTATCTCATTCGATTGTGTATTGTGGCGGTGTGCCTGTCGTCTTTGCGATGAACGCTTAGACTTGATAGGCTGAAGCAACATCTGCTGCTCCTGGATTTTTTCATTTGTTCACTTGAGATTTAAAGGGCAGCGTTGATTTACTTTGTTGTGCCTCTTTTTCCCCCTTTTCAGGAGCCACCATTTCGCAAGACCTCTTCACTTGGTTTCTCCATATCGAAGAACCCGTGAGTTACATAACGATCTTTCATTTGTTAACCTGATCGGGTTCGCTGATCGACAACTTACTTCAATTTTTTTCAGTGAAAGTTGTTGCGATATCACGAGGGTAGTTGTCCGCCGCTGGTGTCCGTAACCAATATCGCGCGAAATAGTAAAAAAAAAATGTCCCAGATGGAACGCGGTTCGAATCTGGACACTCTAAGGGCCAGCTCAGTATTCGGCCCCGGAGCCACGCGGGTGCTCAGAAATTCCTGCGCACAAAAACCCTATACAAGCGTTATGTCTGGAAGGAAATAACATACGCAATGTAACGTGATAGCATAGTAAAGTACTACCAGGCGTCACACAATATAAATTGTGTATTGAATAGGTTGTTAAATGTTTCCAACCCATTACTAAGGGCTCAGTCATAGTTCTTCATCGTTATCAGCTACCGAATAATAAAATAGAGCAGTGGGTACCTTGCAAGCGTACGAGACCCGAGAGAGCGATCAACGGTTTCTAGAAATTGTGCTCGTCCAGCTTTCTATGTGACTGTGCTGCACTTTGCGCACAAGCCTGTTGTTTTCTTTGGGGTGAAGCTCTTCTTAGTCTAACCTTGTCCCGCGTCAGGCGTAACCGACAGTATCTCCCGAACAGTGTAATAAATGGCGCTGTCTAATCACCACTTCGCGTTTCATTTCCTAGATGGCGTTGGTTCAATATAAGTGTGTTTGATAGTACGGGCGTAAGGAAGCGTAAACAGATGGACGCTTCGCCCCACTCATCATCATTCATTCTGTGGATATGCTGTGATTGTTTAGATGCGAAGAAGCTCTTGGCTAGCCTGTAACGCTGACCGTCCGTGTCCCCGGGCCAATGTGCCGCACCGTGCTTTCCTCGCCGCAGGTGTTGGGGCAGTGCCAAGTAGGTCACGCCTTCCCTTGCAGTGCGCAGTGACTTCATTCTATCCCTCGCCTGCTGCGCGCTCGCTGCGTGTCACCACTCTCTCTTCACCCTTTCCATTGCTCGTAACATTCGAGCGCACATCGAGTGAACTGTCGGTTTATTTGCGATGGAGAGGACGCTGGAAGGGGAAGTTCCTTCACCCGCCGAAACATGCGCCAAAGCGATTTGGCCAACTCAGGCCGTCGCCGGCGTTGCGAGTGTTAGCACAGCCGATCGCGTTCGCGAATGGCGACGTCGCGCCTGAAACACCGACTAGGCGTGAGCCAGTGAAGCCGAACGCAAGCGTCGGCAGTGGAAGACCAACGACACCGACTAGGTGCGAGTCAAGCACGCCGATCGCGTTCGAAAATGGAGATGCCGTGCGGGTAACACCGACGAGACGCGAGCCAAGGTAGCCGAGCGGAAGCGCCGACAGTGGAAGGGCAACGACGGCGAATTTTCGGAATCGCCGTCGTCGGCAACGTCTCGAAAGCGCTGCGCGCCCTTCGTTGAAGCGCCCGACTCTGCCGTCCGATCCAGAGGTGACCTGGAAGAGCGCTCTTGTTCCGAGTTGCGTTGCCGTGCGTATCGGTGACGTCGCGACCGTGGCGCTGTATTTCGCTCCCAACCTGCCGAAGTAACAGGTTCAGCGCTGTCTGGATGAGACGCTGATTGCTACGAGGCGCGTCGATGCGCGCCTCTGATAGTCGTGGGTACAGTGGCTAGAATGTAGTCATGGGAGACATCATCGGTGATGTCAGTGGCGGAGAATGGCTCGTCGATTACATGCGTGACGTGCACTCGCTGAAGTGCGTGTAGGCGGAACGGAAACTACCCACCACGATAAAACTAACGTGCATTGATCTGTTCTTTGCGAACTTCGACGCCCAATACCTGCAGGAACCTCTCGGCGTGCTCTTCACCGATCACATGGCCGTAGTAGTCGAGACGAAACGCTCGCCAGTTCCGGACCAGCATCCGTGTCCCTTCTGAAGAAACGACAAGACCCACGCCAGCCATCGCTTCAAACGAATCTTTGCCCCGCCGCGGTGGTCTGTCTAGTGGCTAAGGTACTGGGCTGCTGCCCCGCAGGTCGCGGGTTCGTATCCCGGCTGCATTTCCGATGGAGGCGGAAATGTTGTAGGCCCGTGTGCTCAGATTTGGGTGCACGTTAAAGAACCCCAGGTGGTCGAAATTTCCGGAGCCCTCCACTACGGCGTCTCTCATAATCATATAGTGGTTTTGGGACGTTAAAACCCCACATATCAATCAAACCACGATAAAACTAACGTGCATTGATCTGTTCTTTGCGAACTTCGACGCCGAATACCTGTAGGAACCTCTCGGCGTGCTCTTCACCGATCACATGGCCGTAGTAGTCGAGACGAAACGCTCGCCAGTTCCGGACCAGCATCCGTGTCCCTTCTGAAGAAACGACAAGACCCACGCCAGCCATCGCTTCAAACGAATCTTTTCCCCGCCGCGGTGGTCTGTCTAGTGGCTAAGGTACTGGGCTGCTGACCCGCAGGTCGCGGGTTCGTATCCCGGCTGCGGCGGCTGCATTTCCGATGGAGGCGGAAATGTTGTAGGCCCGTGTGCTCAGATTTTGGTGCACGTTAAAGAACCCCAGGTGGTCGAAATTTTCGGAGCCCTCCACTACGGCGTCTCTCATAATCATATGGTGGTTTTGGGACGTTAAACCCCACATATCAATCAATCAAACGAATTTTTTCAGCGTTGACCACAGCACTCGCGTTAGCGCCGTTCAACCCGTGACGCCGCTTGTGCATGCGCGACGCTGCTGCTTCGCATCCCGTCAGTGTTCGCTTTGGGAAGATGTTAATTTTTCTCTCTCCCTCTTCTTCGTGCCGTTGAAAAAAGGGTGCTTTGACGTGATTCAATTTTCCTATTAACTGTACGTTAAGCCGTGTTTTCTTGTTTTAGAGGCGAAGCTCCTTACGCCGTGGGACGTGCGTCCGCGATGTAGGTAGTAGTAGTAGTAGTAGTAGTAGTAGTAGTAGTAGTAGTAGTAGTAGTAGTAGTAGTAGTATTGCGTCGTTGTATTACGTAGCCACCTCCACAGCCAGACTAGAGAAGCGGCACGCGCGTTCTCATTTGAATTGAGGATGACGCCCATGCACGTTAATTATAAATAAAAAGACAGTTGTTTCTGATTAAATAACCCACAGAGCAGAGTATCGGTGACTTAATCTGCAATAAAAATTGCCTTGAATTTGACACTTACTAAAAAAAAAGAAAAGCTTTTATCTGAAGGACGCCCTTTGAGCACTATCTGGTCGCCACGTTGAACTCGCTGGGCGTAACCTCCTTGGTTTTAACAAGGTTTAGCGAGTGTTGGGCCGCAGTTTCATGAACTAGAGGCGGCGAAAGGTGGGAATTAGACACGAATCGCAGGCTGTAAGAAAGCGCGCGCGTGTCGTTTCTCTAGTCCGGCCATGCCACCTCTCGTTTAGTCCTTGGAATGTCTGCTAGATGGCGGTACATTTATATGATGAATATATGTTGAAAAGATGCGAGGTGGCGGTACTTGGAGCGTTCACTAGATGGACGGATGGACGCGTGGACGGAGAGACAGACAGATGCACGGACGAATGGGCGCATGGATGAACGGGTTGCCGGACGGATGGAAGGACGGACGTATGGACGAATGCATGGACGGACATATGGACCGACGCATGGACGGACGCGCGAACTGACGGACGGTCGCGCAGTTGGAAGCACGGATGGACGGAAGCAAGAGCGAATGGACGGACGGCAGCGCAGACGGACTCATCATCATGCACTCCGTGGATATGCCGTTATTTTTTTTATTGTTTCTTTAAAGACAATTCCTTGACCTGTCTCCAGGAAGCGAATCTTTTTTAATAGACCAATATCTCTGAATAAACTAAGAACGACATTTTCGAGTTCGTAGCACTACGCCAAAAATAGATATTTGTATTTAGTGCTTACGTGAAAGTATCACGCCAATCTTGCTGGGGCTTTAGTTCGAAATGAGGCTGGCGTGCAAACAGATTTCACTTTCGTGTGATCGTGCTCCATCAGGCTCCGTTATTTTCCGCTATCGCCCCTGTGCGCATTCTTGTACGAGTGATATCTTTGCTCTTCTGTCGCAGTGCCATTTCATACTACGCGGTCATCTTTGTAGCTCGTTTAAAATGCCAGTGCGCCTTGCATTACGTTCCGTTGATTTGCCCGTTGTTACCTAGCATGGCGATGTTTCTGACCGTGTGGGCAACTTCGCTTGACCGCGGGCAGTGAATGGGATAGCACTTCGGGACTTGGGAGCGTTGTATGGCTCCGGTTACACCACCTTCAAGAGGGAGTCGCGTGTTCAAGACGATTCTTCCAGGGACAAGCGGGCGCGTGGGCCCTCCGCCCAATCTTGTCGTTACTTTTTTTCTTTAGGGCAATTATTTCGAGGCCGCAATCTGTTCCCACGTGCCTCTGCAATCGCGTCTCTCCCAGGGTGTTGTTCGCTCCCTACGTCAGCGGAAGAGGCCAATCAGTGTTTCGATGCAGAAGCAGGAAGCTTCTCCACTCTTCGCGCTCAAGAGAGGCAGCTCAACCTGAAGCAGTCAGGTCTAGGCTTCTACATAGCGTGATGGGTTATACGTTTTATGCAACTTTTAATCATCTACTCTGGCTCACATATCTCGTCTCCCTTCCGCCTCTGTGTTTTTTTTTTTTATTTTTCATGGTCGCTGAAATTCAGGCAACGTATCTAAAAACGTTGCAATTCAGGCACCAGCCTAACTCAGAGTACGACATTTTTGATTGAGCAGCTCAACCATGTTTCTGTCGCACTGATCACAGAAAGACTCCCGCTAGTATGTGGCCGCGTCGCCGCACCTTAAATTACAACACGGAAGATATGGAAAAAAACAATTCAGTAAACGTGGGATGTCTTGAAAAAGAAAAAAAAAAAATTCCACTTGCCGAAACCTCGAGCGCACAACTTCTGTTTACGGGTTTTCTCGTCGCAAGCTTCCACCTTCCCCCCTCTTGCCGCCTTTTGGATTAAAACACAGCAGCTGGCGTCAACCCGCGCACTGTTCTTTTCTTCGTTGTACTCGACGTTGCTTTAAAAAGGGAGGTGGTCGTTTGGAAATAAATGTGTTGAAATAGAAGCGAATATCGGTTTACGTTTGTAGCACGAGTTTTAGGCGAAGAGTTGGCGCCTGTCCATGCTTTTTCTCCGGTTAGTGCCTTTGGTTGGCGCCTAAAAGAAGATCTCCAAGGCGCCGCCGCTCGTTTTTTGTAATCTACTTGGTATTTTAATGTGTTCGCTCTCCGGACATTCGCGTCCTTCGTTCACACGTCGGCGAGATATATCTCGTTACGTCACGCCTTCGTCGGGTTGCCTCGTGAGTGGCGGCAGCGCGGGAGACTCCACTTATCTAGGAGGAAACGAATGGGAAAGAATGACGTGTCGTCTCTGTGGAGATAAACATTCGTGCGGATGTCGGCCCGAAACGTAACTGGCTTTGGGCCGCCTTCTGTATAGCCTAGAAGACCTTGGCCAGTCGTGCCTGGAAGCCGATAGTGTTCGAGCTCGCGCGCTTTACCAAAGCGTTGCGGGAAATTGTGCAACGCGTTTTTTTTATTATTAAACATATACACATTGCTTACTGTAATATCGTTATCAGTCCTCGCTCGTAGTGACAGCTGGGAGACTTGTCACTAGACGTTATAAAACGGCCGAACGCGTTGAGGCGTGGCACTTGGTACGCGTTGTTTTTTCGCACTGTTCGGGGCACGGAAAGACACGCCTTCGTCGCTTCTACGCGCGTTTTTCCTTCTTTCGTTTCCCGCGCCCCGTGCGTAAAACCGCGCGTAGACACTCGATAACACTTCGTCTTGTTCTGCAAAGTGTCGTAAACGTTTGTTGGCTTTCATTTCGGTAGCAAGGGGGGGGGGGGGAATCCCACACAAGAGAGGACACATAAACAGGACCAGGTTTACGCGTTCTCTCATGTGTCCGCGCGTGTTAAAAAGAAGAAAAAAAAAAGTCACAGTTTGGCCGCGAGGGCGAAGCAATGAATGCGATAGCGACAACTTGGAATGTAAGGCTGAGAACGGCTAGCAGATCGAAACGTACAGTGCGCTGCTCGCGCACCAATGACGCGCGAAAACGAACACACACATGACGAGAGCTCGCAACGTTTACAGCTCGACGCTTAAAACGCGCTGTTTAAACAAAAAACGACGCACGAAGCGCAGTCATGGGTGCAGGTATGAGCGCGAACTAACGAGTGTCCCAGTTACTTCGCTGTGTTTGAAAAGCGCGCTCTTATCGCAAGCGGGGTCTGCCCAGCGAGCGAAATGATCTTTGGGCTACCGGAAACTAAACGCAATCTTTCCGGTGAAAACCGAAAGTGCGCGATTCTCCCCACCGAAGGATGGGAGATATGCATGGGAGATCACAATAAAAGTGTACCGAAATGTGTGCCAACAATTGCAACCATCGAGCCCCCGTTACCGCCCGATAGGTGATGCGAGTTCCCCGCACAGTCGGTAAGCATGGCCATAGAGTTTCCTAAAATTAACTAGAGGAAACTGGTGCTGCGATCGTTCAGCGACCATGGGAATAACGGGTAGTACACAGATTTGCCTAGTCTTCATACTTGCGAGCGGCGAATCGCACTTGTGGCTTTGTTTATTGCTGTGTTTCGATTTTGTTTTGAAGGCAAGAACGAACCCTTTTGATCTTCGTGACCAGATTTGAAAGGTTAAACTTAAAAGAATAAGGTGGTGAAGCTATGGTTCCTAGACTATGCTGGCTAGTCTGCCGTCTCTGCTCTCCGCCGCCGCCGGTGATGCATGCGGTGGTGGCGCTATCGGAGTTCCTTGAGCAGACGCCCCTCTCGCGACTCGTGCCTACAGGCGAGCTGGGGCAGCCGTTACCGCTTTGGCATTCCCGTGTCGTGAGCATGTGAAACAGTGATAAAGAAAAAAAAAACATGTCCATGCACTTGTACATTTCACTTTTCTGCGTTGTGTGCGACCTTAAAGATTGAAATTACCATCCCGTTTGTGCAAATAATGCCCACTTCGCACCTATTTTGCGTTCATTCCTGCAGCCTTCAACAGTTTCAAAGAATGAACGCATCTGGGAAAGAAGGCGGAAAATACGAACGACGGCACATATCACGAGAGGAGTAGTATACTTATGATGACATATGAGATGCTGATACATATAAATGCTTCTGATAGTATATTGTGCGAATCTTTTGCTGTTAAAGTTTGAGGAACAACATACTTCTCATGTCATTATAGTGCCTGGCTGTAAATGGTGTCATTTGAACAAAATATTATGAACTTTGCTAACTCTGCATAGAACATTAAAAAAAAAAAGACCATAACTTAAGCGTAATAACATGTGTGATGAATTTTCTCTCTCATTTTGAAGATATCACTGCGTTTTCCTTTCTGCGTGATACACCGAGAACCAATCTGTGTTATTCAGAGACTTGGCGAAGTAAACATGGTATAATGTTTTCATTCTCAGAAATGGTCACGTACAGGCAGGTAAACTGAGCTTACAAATAGTTCATACGTTTGTGAGAACTAGTTAACAGTATTTATACTATAACGGAAGCCTTTCTAAATACACAAGAAATTTAATATTCGGCCCTTTAGTTTTCTTCAAGCAACCGCATCTTGTTCAATGAGTAGCTGCTTCCTCCACTGTGATCACGTCAGTTCCCCGGAGAAAAATGACGCTGGATGTAACGTTTGGTCGATTAAAGATGGTTCAGTTTCTGTCCACCCAAAAAAAAAAAAAAAATACAATGAGTAGTTTATCCGGTAGTACAATAATAAAAGACAAAACATGATTTGTCACCGAGAACGCGCTCCGATAGACTGCAGCGCCCCCTGCGCATGCATCAGCGGTGCGGACACATCCTTGCATGGGGACGGTGTGGAGACTGCAGACTACGCAGTATATTTTAGAGACCATAGTGAAGTGCAACCACTGAACAATTGTTGGTTTTTGTTTGTTGAGAAAACAGCTACAAGCCACACAAGCCCACACCGAGCCAGAAGTACGAAAATTAGTCAAATCCATGTACTACCCATCGTTCCCCTGCTCGGGGAAGCACCAAGCGTTGCAACTTCCATAGACACTAGCGCCAGAGTTCCCTCTAGTGTATATTAGGAAACTCTATGGGCAAGGCGAATTCTAAAATGAAGTCTTCTCCTTCCTATTCCCGTCTCACTCTTCGTCTTGTCGCGCATTTTTGGGTACTTAGTTGTCTGTCGCGGGCTATGCTACAGCAACCATTACACGAGGCCTGGCCATGGCACCTCTCAATGGCACGTGCCTCGAAACTTCACATCAATGCAGTTCCGTGACTTAAACCACAGTTAGTCAGAATCACAGTTGCTTTTTTTTTTCAGCTGTTGTGATCCAGCAAATATGGCGTAATATCGAGCATAATAAATTCTTATTCAGCAGTTTATTTCAGTGATTGTTGCATGGCATTGTAAAATAAATTTGTTTTGTCACAGCACTCGCCTTTCTTTATTTATTTCTGCACGCAGTGCATCTGTGTTTTTTATTAATCACATTTGAATCTATTCTTATTGCAATTGCTACAGTAATTTCACTCCTGAACTTTCGTAAAGGAAAGCTACAAAAATTGTGCTCAAGCGTGAAGATTGCAAATAACTGCTGTCCTCTTGCCATTTTTAGAAATTGATGTTTTAGCATGCTTCAAAATTAATTATTTCCTCTATTACTATTGCAGCACTTCTCCAAATGAAAACATTCTTCAGCCACCGTCACTTGTTGAGAAGATGTCATCATCAGATTCAAGTTCCAGTGACTCTGATGACTCCTCCTCCGCATCGGGCTCCGGAAGTGATTCTGAAAGCTCAGACAGCGATGGGTCTGCTCCGGAAACAGGCAGAGAGGTAGGCCTGCTTTGCTTGATTTTTGTTGGGGCTGTCTGAAAAAGTTCTAAAGGTAATGCTTACTAGTTCAACAATAACCATTTTATTGGGACGTTTCCTCTAATGTGCTTATCCTACCACACGAGGTTATTACTATACAGCGGCCGATACCCATGTTAGCACCAGTGCCCGTGTAGCCGTTACGTATATAGCGCAGCACATGTCAAGTGGGCTGTTCTCTGCCACTATACTGTTATCAGAGTGGCTCATATTCGTGCAGCACCTATAGGAAAGTAGCATTATCATCTACTGGGACAATTAGGACTCTTAAGGAGAACTAACAGACAATAATGCAAAGGAAAGTATAGGGGACATTATTAGAGGTGATTGTAATGTAAATGTGAAGACTAAAAAGTAAACTACAAGATAACTTGCCACTGGAAAGAACTCAACTGCTACCTTCGAATAATGCGTCTGTTTCTCTACCACTGAGCTGGGGGATACATGTGGGTATACATGTGCCTTTAAATGTGGGAGCATCAATCGCACCCCCTGTTGCCATGACGGCGAGTGTTTAACATGGTTATTTCTCATTAATATTGTGCCTAACAGAGGAAACGAGCATTTAAATTTACACTTTCTTTCAGTTAGGACAGTTGTCACACTTGTTGCATGGCGGGCGAAGTCGTGTTTACAAACATGGGCATTGTCGAACATGGTGGTGTCCAAGGCTCTTGCCTCAGTTTTAGTTTCCATAAATGCTATACTCTTATCTTTGATCACCTGTAATTTCTAAACTGAGGTTTCACTTTTTAAAAAAATTTCTGTAACGTTAACTACAGGCATATAGCACAGAGGTAATTCGGGGATGTTGGCATTATTAGGTCTCATGAGACAATTCCGCGTGTAAACAACCAGATGATTGACTTTGACATGTCTAGGATGGGACACAGTGAGGTTATTTAACAGTGCTTTCACATTTGCATTCCTGTACGCTAATGTTATTAGTGTGAAAGCATAGCGTCTTGAGTTTATACACATAATACAACAAATATATTTTGGAAAAAGTCTGCTGGCATAACCTTGCACCAAATATGTGAACTTTTTTTTTCTCATGCAGCCAAGTACCCAGAGTTGGCAGCTGGCCGACCTTATTGGAAAGCGCAGCTCTTCTGTGGGTTTGGGGGCTGGGCTGGCCCCCATGGGTCGGCAGTCACGAGCTGAGGATTCCCTTGTAGACGAGGACTCCTTCACACCCATCCTCTCCCAATTCCCAAACGCACATGCCGACATCGATGTCATGCTCAAAAGGTGTGTACTTCATTTTATCCACCTGTGGACATCTTCCTTGAAAGAGTGCAGCTGTCTTTTGGCATATGGGACATTTGCATTTTTTCGCATTCTTCTCGTGACATCAACAAAATATTTTGAATAAAAGCTAGAAGAGGACGCAATTAAAAAACTTTTAGCCATTCTTAATTGCCACTCAGCAATATTCAGAATGGTGTGTAGTTGCATTTATGCTGGAGAGGAACAGGGAATCACTAGCTATGCACAGCGAGATGTCACAAATAGGATTAGCCTTTGTAAAAGTACTCTCTGGTTACAATACTGGATGACAAAAAACAGCAGCGTACTTACAGGGCCCCAAACTTCCCCCGATGTTTTTTAAAACATTTCAAGTAAGCATTCTGTTCAGAATGACTTCACAATCAGTGATGCTAAACGTGGCAGCGCTACCAGCTGCTGGCGTGCCACAAGTTTCAAGAAACAATCCTTCCTCCTCTCCGGGCCTTTCCGTCCTCTGTACTCCCCACCGCGGTGGTTTAGTGGCTAAGGTTTGATTTAATGGCTAAGGTTCGGCTGCTGACCCGCAGGTCACGGGATTGAATCCCGGCTGCGGCGGCTGTATTTTCGATGTAGGCGAAAATGCTGTAGACCTGTGTGCTCAAATATAGGTGCATGTTAAAGAACCCCAGGTGCTCGAAATTTCAGGAGCCATTCACTACGATGTCTCTTTTAATCATATGGTGGTTTTCGAACGTTAAACCCCACATATCTATCTATCGGCCTCCGTGCTACATCACGAAGTTGAATCTGTGATGTGTAGCGCAAGTCAGGCTGTAATTGGTTGAGCAAGAGCCTACGACGTCCGGTTAGTCTGCAAGTGGCTGTCTACGCTGCTTGTTCATTGTATTGCCCGCATGCACACGGACTGCACGTTGCCACGCGAGATTGGGCGGGGCACTCGGTGAGAGGGCAAAGTGACTTTGGAAGAGTATACCAGCGAAAGGAACGATCGCCGTGTTTTGATAATCAAACACACCAAACTCTACTATTACAGGGCCGTTTCGAAAAACTTTCACAGCTACCTGTTCATTGTAGACTCCGGCACAACTGCCCCACATAACTAAATTTCCACCTCTGGATGGTTAAGGGGCTATATAAAGGTTGCTCTCAGAAATCACACTAGTAAAGAGCATGCTCTGTTCTTTTTGCTAATTAGAGCACAGTATGTGATAGCTGCATTGTCTTGCTTTACAGTCCCAGTCCTGAAGGCTTGGACCTGATTCGTTCACCGGTCACCAAGCCATCAAGCTTTCTTCTTTCCCCGGTGCACTCAAGCCCATCACGGAGTCCGCTGCCCTTGACCAGCAACGCCCGAGCTGCTCCACACAGTCCCTCACCGCAGGGCCTCCAACCTGCAAAACCCCTGACGGGTGTGACGGCCGCTCTGTCCGACGACGAAGGTCCCTGCCAGATGCAGAATGGCAGGATAACCATGAGGCTGGGCAAGCAGCAGCCACCACCGCCCAAGTCAGAACCCGAACCCCCAGCTGCCAAACAGCCAGAGCCAGTGAAACGGTCATGGCCGTCCAAGGCTGCAAAGAAAGAGACTAGTCCCAGTCTGGCCCCCCCTGCGAGGAACAAGATGCCTGCTGCCCCTGTCCTGCCTGCTAAGACTGAAGCATTGGAAGGTGATAACACAGCCAGAGAACCCACACCCATTGGCATTACTCCGGCAGTCAGTCGGACGACTTCAAAGCGGAGTCAGTCAGACCGCTACAATGAAAAACGTTCCAAAATTCACAAACCTACAACGAGTCGAACAGCACCGGTGCTGTCCGACTCATCCAGTGAAGACGAGGGGCCGCGACCTCCTTCTGCTATGGGGCGGCTGTTATCTAGCGAGGACGGCCGAGCCGAACAACGAAATTCCACCGTGGCTACCGTGCCGCGAGGCCGACCCCCCAAGCCGTCGCGCACCGATTCTAATGTGCACAAGGATGAGCTGGTTGTTCCCAAGAGGGAAGGGAGGGGCATGCCACGGACTCCTCCCGAACCGCCTTCACTATTGTCTCCTATTGGGCAGCGCAGTGGCAGTGAAGTCCGAGAGAGTGTGCCTACTGCAACGGACAGCATGGTTGTCTCCATTCCCTTGAGCCGCCTCCTTAGGTTACCAGGACGACCAGGGAGGCAGCAGCCATCTCCACTCCTCTCAAAAGAGAACCCGTTGGACACTGGGCCAGCTACACAGAAGCCCGATGGTTCAAAGCATAGCAGTGCGGTGTCTTCCCCAGCAAAGGGCAAGTCAAGCTCGAAGAGAAAAAGTGTTCCAGACGAGGACAGGGGAAGCAGGGAGCAAGAAAAGAAGCGGCGAGTGTCAACTAGCTCCAGTGGCTCGCTACGAGCCAAGAGAGAGTGAGTGTGCTCCCCACTAGACTTTTATTGCAGATGATTACGGTAGACTCCCTTTAAGATTAACTCCAAGGAAGGGAGGTTGATCATTTGTTTGTCTTATCAGAACGGCCCCCAAAAACCAAATGTTAAAATGCCATCAATATGCCATAATATGTTGCTTGAAAACACTGAATGAAGTGCACTTACAATGCGGAGGAAAGGGACAAGGAAGAGCATTTATTTTGCCCAGGTTGATAAAAGCTATGCTTTCGAGTAGAGTATTTAGACTAATATAACAAGTACTCAATTTTTCAAGTTCACAATAAATAAGCTCATGAATGAATTGCTACCACATTTTAGCAATAAAACTGTAGCACGACCCTATTCTGACAATTAGAAAAAGATAAAAAGGGCGAAACAAGCACAACTTTCCTTCAAAAAATGGAAAATTTATTCTTCTGGCTGTTCACCTTCTGAAAGGCTGTTTTACTGGTTTTCTATAACTTTTGGATACCTTGATAAAGCCAATATACACCAAGTTGCATAGGAAACTCTGCATGCTTTTCTTTGATGTTCGGATATTGTCTTATTTTCAGCCCTTGCAGTAACTTTCCTCAAACAACATGCAGCTAAAGATCTTCGTTTACGCCACTCACGATTACAAGCCTCGGGTACACAAAAAAAGACACGACGCAGCTATATTTAGTGTCCAAAATGACCTTTCTTTGTCGTGCTCTTTCATAATAAAAATAGGGCATCACAGTTTACTACATTTCACTCGGGAATAGATACGACGAGCACAGGCCCTGTGCAAAACAATGCAAGCTGACCACAACATGCACTCAGGTGCCATTGTGTGATGGCGATGACAATGCATCTGACTCCTCTTATGGGATAGCTAATGCCGCATATGTGGTTTTGGCTTGATGTGATTATAATGCACATACCTTTGTTCCCATTTTCACTTTCATGTGGCTCCCCCACCCCTCCTTGCATTTTCCCCTCTTGTCAAGCTCTTGTGTTCTTTTGTTCTCCTCTGTACTCCAGTTAGCGAACTGAAGAATACGATGAGAATACATGAGGATGAACGCTTTTCGCTGCTTTCTCTGCTGATAAAGCTGGCCATTTCTTTTACAAGCTAGGGGTGAGGGGGATACCAGCTTTATGCGCTCACCTTTCTTTTCCACTTATCTCGCTTCCTGCCCGCATGTCACAATTTTCTATCGATTTGCTTTGAGTCCGCTCTAAAAAGTTTTTCTTTTTTGCTTTCCCTTGTTTGCCTGAATGCCTCCCATCAAACTGTAATGTTCGTTGCACAGAATCTCTGTCAATTGTCAGTCGCTGCGAAAGTTCTTCCTAACAGAAGGAGCCGGTTACGCAGTTCATCTTAAGCAGATTTTTTTGCATTGAGTCTATGGGAAACCAAGCAAACACTGCCGTGCTGCTAAGCTTACTGTATCTCCTACAAAAGAGCCAGTAATGAATACTGATAAACAAGAACACCTAATTAAATTGTTTTCAATGCAATTATTGAACCTCATTCTACCCAAAAAGGAATAAGTGTAAATGATAACAAGCGAGTGCTGTTAACTTTAAGATTAATTGTTAAATGACCTCTGGTTCCGTGCCAACCAGCTGTTTGTTCCTACAGAAAGCACAGAGCTATGTCTTGTACAAGCAGAGCTAGAACATTTGTCTACATCGAACTATCCCTGTAAGGAAGTACAGTGCAGACCATTTATAACGTAGCCGCTTACAGTGTGCGATCACCCCGCCGCGGTGGTCTAGTGGCTAAGGTACTCGTGTGCTGACCCGCAAGTCGCGGGATCGAATCCCGGCTGCGGTGGCTGCATTTTCGATGGAGGCAGAAATGTTGTAGGCCCGTGTGCTCAGATTTGGGTGCACGTTAAAGAACCCCAGGTGGTCAAAATTTCCGGAGCCCTCCACTACGGCGTCTCTCATAATCATAGCGTGGTTTTGGGACGTTAAACCCCACAAATCAGTGTGCGATCAGTTCAAGTGCAGTTTTTTCTGACTTTCATTTCCCATCCCGTAGGACTTCATGTGTACACATACTGCTCATTGGGGAGTGCCCCAAAGATAAAAGACTGGTTATAATGTGCCCGCCGGAAAATTTTCAGTGAAGCGAGGAAGTGAACATGCTTCTCAGCACAGGTGCGCCGGCAGTAGAGAGTGCGATGAAGGTGTTACTCGCGAGCTAGTGATTCTTAGTATAGGGTAAGGAAATGGAGAGAAAACGGGTAAGAGCGCTCAATAGCTGTCTTGAGCAGCAAGCATAGTTAACGAGCACTCTTCCCCCATTTTCCGTCTTTCTTCCTCATGAGGGGACACGGAAAGAACGAGCGAGGGTGGATGAAAGGAGAGGGATGATGATGGGGTGTAGTGGTGTAGCAGCTCTAGACGTGGGCAGGAGGGGTAGTGCTAGTTGCATAGGGGACATGGCAGCCTTCGGTCTCTGTCGTTTTTGCATTGGCCACCTGTCATGCACACACCACCACAAACGCGAGCCCGCGTCCACCGCTGTTTGTTCTTTGGTTATCTATCGAAAAATGATTGTCTCGTCGAGAAGCACCAATTTCGCACATGCGAATTCTATTCCTGCGTTAGTGACAATGCTTTGAGACACGATCGAGCTTTCGCCTTTGACCACCAACAGGCAGACTGACTAGTTTAGAAGACTTTTTTTTAGAATGGTTGCGACGGCTGTAGTCTTGAGCGCAAACGGAAACTTCGTACCACGCGCGCTGCCCTCTGTTTAGCTTGTGAGTGTGACCACAGCTACGCCTGATCGTGTTTCCTGAGCAAGTGTTCATGTTGTCCCATCTTTTTTTTTTTTTTTTAGTGCGCTCACCATTTTTTCTCCTGTGTATACAAGGTGCCTCTATTTCATGCATTATTTTCAAGTTGTTAGTTATCACATGTTTCGTTGTTATAAATTGCGCTTTGGTTATTGATCAGGTTATCCTTAACTTTTTATTTTATTGCTAATCCATCAATTTATTAGATCTTTAGTTCTTGCTACAATTGAATATTAGGTACTGTTGTTCTAATTTTGGTTCATTTGTTAGCTCTTAAAAGCTCTGATATTGAATATATATATATATATATATATATATATATAGCCATTATCAATCTTGCATTACCTCGCATGCATGCTATAATTTTTGCTTAATCTTCATTGCGCACAAAAATATTACTCAAGATGTTGTTGTCTATGAACTTTTTTCCTTGCTTAACTAGGTGAATTCATGTGATCTGAAACATGGTCAATGAAGTAAATACTGGTTATTATCTGTATTCATTTACAGTACCCTCAATGCCCAGAATCTAATATAAAGAAACTTGTTGAGAGTGATGCAGTCGTGACACATTTCTTCAGTGTTGGTGGTGTTGGGAAATTGTGGTGACAAAATAAGGGAGGCAGTTTTTATGCTTTCTATTGTGTGGTGGTAATAGATGAAAGCAGATGTGATCGCAATATGTCCCAAAGAGCTATATTATTGACTTATTGTCATCGTGCTCCAGTAGCCAAGATGAACTAAAAGCAATTGGTTCTTGAAGCAAGTATGAATATACAACGTTGGTTTCCTTTTTACTGCTGTTGGGTGCTTATATAACTTGGCAATGATTACGTGTATCCTGCCAATGAGAGCAATATTGGTTTGGTAACTTGGACTTTGCCTGTGCAGCTGAAAAACCATCGTTTTCTTCAAGGTGCTAATTCCTTTCATACTTTTTCTCACCACAGGCAAGCTGAACTGCCGCGTCCGGATGATGAATCGGAGAGCAGGCATGCATGGCCTGAGCCTCTACGCTCGTGCGACAGCCCCAGCAGTTTGAGTTCATACTCAAGTCAGCGGAGTGGCTCTCGGCAACACCGCGGGCGGCCTTCCTCATCCAGCCGGAGTCGTTCCGAGAAAGGCGCATCCAGGAAAGAAACGACTCCTTCTAGTGAAAAGTCCAAGAGGCATCACAATCACCACCGGGACAAGAAAGAGTCGTCTGGCTCGAGAACCCGATCCCATTTGGATGGAGCATCATCATCGAACAAGTCTCGGAAGGCTCAGGATGATCCTTGCTCAGAGCCCGGTGCCATGGCAGGCAGCACAGATGTTGCTTCTTCTAGTCAGGTGAGAGACTCTTCCACCGTTACGCACTTGTTTTGTCTCTGTGACTCCCATGCAAATTGAAGCTTAAATCATCGACAGGGTGTTTCTGGATGTTTAAACATCAAGAAAGTGCAAGCAAAGTGCACATTTTAAAATAATACTGAAATGTTTCTATTCACTGGAAGATTGAACGACATAACTAATTTTCATGTCAACAGTGTTCACAAACTGGACCAAATTAGGTGGGTCAGGCGACAGTGGTAAAAACAAGAGGCCTGGAGAATGCAAACTTGGGCCAACTCTCTTTACGAGAATGAACCAGCCCATGGAACTGAAGGACAAGAAAGTGCACACATATACGCGCACACAGGCACCTGTTGCTTTTTTTCGTTCCTGATTTCTAGGATGTTTTCGTTTTTTTCAAAATGAATTACCAAAAAGCCCAAACTGGCCCATTGGTGCACTGCTTTGGAGCAGCAGTGCATATTTAGTTAAACTTGGCTCAACTGTGATTGTGAAGTGAGGTGCTTTTGTTCATTAATAAAAAAAAAATGGTAATAATAAAGCTGCATGCGTATTGCTAGGCCGTAGGGCTTTGCATCACACGAGAGTTGAAATGTGGGCTTGTTGGTGATGCATCTGAAAAAATTTTTATAGCATGTGGTGAAATACTGCATTTGCATTACAGTGACATGTATTGGAAGGAAAGCAGTTAGTTTCTTAGTGTATATGGCTCAACTGTGATTCTGAAGTGAGGTGCTTTTGTTCATTAATAAAAAAAAATGGTAATAATAAAGCTGCATGCGTATTGCTAGGCCGTAGGGCTTTGCATCACACGAGAGTTGAAATGTGGGCTTGTTGGTGATGCATTTGAAAAAATTTTTATAGCAGGTGGTGAAATACTGCATTTGCTTTACAGTGACATGTATTGGAATGAAAGCAGTTAGTTTCTTAGTGTATATTGTAGTCGCTATCACGCCACTTGTATTCCAATGTCATCATTGTTCGAGTTGCAGAGGTAAAGTCTTGTGGCAGCTTGACCGATCGTTGGTTGGGGCAGGCATATGTGATGAATGTCCCTTTCTTGCAACCCATATTGAAGATAGGTCCTTCTAGTTCACTAAATGGCCATTGCTAATGAATGACTTAATGTGACCTGTATCATTGCAGAATTAAAGCAGAAGTCTTGTCTGTTACTAGTAAAACATGAAGCTTCATTCAGCACAACTAGTACTCGGTTGCACATGGCACACAGTTTGCATGGCACAAATATCATGAATTGTAACTGTAAGTGGAGTGTGACAGAAACAGATTAGCTGAATTGTTCACTTAGTTACTAAGTGGAATATACTTAAAGAAAAAGCTTAACTGGGTGCATTTTAGCATGCACCAAATTTTCTAAGTGTTCTTAGTGCAAAATTAGGTATATGCGACATCTAGGCATGTGCTCCTAGATGTCGCATACATTAGATCATTGAAATCAAGTTCCTGTGTTTTTGCATTCAATCTGTGGGCTTGTTCTGCAGGTGAATTCTTGGGAGGGGCTCCTGTCGAGCTCGGACCAGAGCGAAGTGCACGGGCATGAGACGCCCGGCAGCCGCATGGGCAGTGGGGGGATGTCGTCGTCGACGTTGCCGGTCGGGACTGGAGGCCTCCTGACCGTAAAGAAGGAGGAGCCCGCCGACAGGCATAGCCAGCTGGGCAACCCATCCCAGCTGCTATCCTATAGCTCGCACCAGGTGTGGGAGGCAAAGTGAGTGCTCATGCAAATGCTTTTCTAAGAGCATTTTGAGTCATCCTAGAAGGGATATTTTTTAGAGCTGTGCAAATAGCAAAATTTAGGCTGATAAATAAATTCAAATATGGGAGTGAGAATGCTAATTGAATAGAATATTTTCCCAATAGTAAAAGAGTGGGGAAAAAAAGGAATGAGGGTATTTTTAAACATATGATTGAGTTTTTATTTTCGCTAGGTTGATGAAGCGCTGGTGCTTCATAGTTGTCTTATCCAAAATGAGGCAGTGTAGAGGCCGAACAGTATTAGCACATGATTTGGTGCAACGAAATTGTTGCCGACAATACTTTACACTGGAAAGGCAAAAATGTTATTTTCTCAGCCTCTCAAGCCTGGGGAAGCCCAACTGATGTGGCAGTCAATGTTGTGGTCTCTTCGTGTTGCAAGTTCTATTTCTGTCTCGTAGACGTAATCATACAAGAACATATGAAATGGTGAATCGTGAAAATTTTCGGCTTTTTATATTTTGGACTTTCCACCCAAATTTCAGGTCCAAAACAACAATAGTTGAGCCCCTATTTCTGCAGTGTTTATCCATCTCCACGTTAGAATTAGAGTTTTCTTTTTTCAGTCGTAGTAGTGCGTGAAAGGCAGCTTTGTTGCAATATGATTATGTAATGAGGTGAAGCATAATGAAACCTTTAATGGCGCATTTTTAATCAAATGTATTTAAAAAAAAAAAAAAAACTACCATAGCAGAGCTTGAGAGGCAGCTTTGCCACTGTACGATATGTAATAAGGTGAAGCGTGATAAAACTACTTTTTGTTAAACGTTTTGTGGATCGAGGCTATCCTGTCGTCAATTGCTTGTGCTTTTTAGCCTCCTATTTCTGCTGTCCTCATTTTCAAACACGACTCCCCTTTTGCGCGGTCAGTTAGTACCTTCAGGAAGAGCACGTGCGATGTTGACCCCTTTCACCCGTAGCGGATGTAGATTGTGGCGCTGCCTCGCGAGGCGTTTCGCGTGCATGCCCGGTGGGAGTAGGAGAACTTCTCGGGACAGCGAAGGGTGAGCACGCACTTTCTTTCCCCTCCGTCAGCTCCTTTGTTCTTGGGGCTCGTTCGGACAATTTCGCCAACGGTGCCTGAATGAAATATAAGCGGAGAACGCTTATCATTCATTGCCCCTTCCTACCGCTAGGCGGAAGAGCACTGTAGTGTGTTCACGTATGATCTCATTACGCAGAACCATACCTCTCAAAGCCAACGCGTGCGAAGTTTGCCCTCGCTCGAGCGATCAAGCCCTGTCATCACTGAACGTGCGAGCATGCAGCATAGTCGTGAGGGACCGTTTCCCGCAGTGGCATGTCGCCGTTAGGCCATTTTGCTCGTGAAAACGTGCTCGCAGCACCTGTGTGTTGTACATTCGCCCATGGTGTGGATAAATCTATTTTGTTTTCCTGCCGCCTTTCGCAGCGGGAGCTGTCCTGCGATTTTGGCGTTGCCGCAGGCAATAAACTGCTGCGAATCGTTTGAGAGAAGTACTGTGTAATTGCCGCTCAGCGCCTTGGCTGTCCAAATGTGCGTGTGCAGCGGTGTCGGTCACATTAGGCGACTATGAATGCAATCATGGGGCTTGCTTAGACTGAACCAACGCTTAGTGGCTGTAATCTTGCCGGAGATAGTGGACTTTATAACGTTGACTGCATAAGTCTTTGGGAAGTTCGAATAGTTTGAATAATAAAAACGTGAGTGAAAATCGAATTGCCTAGCAAGCACTATTAGAAAAAAATACTAGAAATTTTTAATATGCTCTGACCGCTATATATTTTTTATTTCCATGGTGTGCACTATCAATGTTCTCCACGCATCAGAGCCATAAAACACATGTAAAATATTTTACTTTGATTTTAAAGTTTTCGCCGCCCAATGCCATCTTCAAGCCAGCCCCATCACATTCTACATTATCACAAGTGAACACCGTTAACTGGGTTTGCGAAACGCATCCTACATGCAGCCTAAATTGCAGAAATTGCTGTCGGAATCTCCAGACAACCGTTCGCTTATCGTTGCCTGAGCCCTGTGCCACTGACAGCAAACTGACAGCTGTTGCTAGTATGTCATAAGTTGCAGCCTTCCCATGACGTCAGACTTGCTTGTTGTCATGTCACTGCGAAGCGGCCACCTCTATACTGAAACGAAATCGCCTTTTTGAGGTAGGGGTAATGAAAATGTATTGAATGCATTCCCAAGCACTACGACAGTGATTTTAAGGTTTTCGCCTCACATTTTTTATTTGTTGGTGCAAGGCAGGGCTCTACCTTAAAATATTTAGAATTTGTGTCAGTACTCCTTTAACTGGTACAATTCGATTGGCTACAGCGGCTATGGCATTCTGCTGCTAAGTACAGTATCTTTTTTTCGATTCTCAACCGTAGCAGCCACGTCTTGATGGAGTAAAAAGGTGCTTTGGTGCTGAAAGGCCAAGGTGTTAGCATGATGCCAGCTGTGGCACATTGAGCTTGCCAATGACCTGCAGCAGGCATTTATTTCGACATTTCCAATGGATTTATTGAATTATGCTACTCAAGTGAATGTTATTTGTCGATGGCTGTTTTGTGAATCCACAAGATGACAGTTCGCAGTCTTGTTTATCTTAGTCTATGTGCAAACCGTTAGTAAAGCTAGAAAAATGCAAATTCTCTACAGAAATAGCAGCTCGGACTACTTCCTGTGCGAGGCAAAGCGGCTGAAACACGAGGCTGATCGGGAAGTGCACCGCACAGCACAGGCGGTCAAGTATTTAGAAGCGGTGCTCTACTTCATCCTGACGGGGAATGCCATGGAACATGGTCGGGCTGACCTTGACAATGTGTATCGCATGTACAAGGAAACACTCAATCTCATCAAGTAAGTTGTACTGCAAAGCAGGCCAAAGTATTTACACAGACATAGGTGGAAGCGCAGATGCTCCAATGCTGGCTTCCTAACTTGGTCTTTGCAAGCCAGCATTGCTATGTCACTTTTAGTCGCAGATGAAAGGGGGCCGTTTAAGCCCATCGTGGGCTTGTTTTAGTAGATGTAATAGAGTGCATTTACAGCAGGCTATACAAATTGTTGGTGTCCGCGTTTCATAGTACTACGCATCATTATTGCCTAAGTACATCGGTCATAATGTAAGCCGATAAGCTTCTGTTATGCTCATTCATCAAGCAATGTTAACTAATCTACTGTCATTCTGTCCTTTGCAGGTACATTTCAACAAAATTTCAGAAGCTTCAGAATGACGCCTATGGCAGCATTGGCAACCAACTTGCCGTGCTAAGGTGTGTACCTACTATTTTAATATTTTCTTGCTCCCCTGTATGTACAGGGTTGCTCGCTTTTAGTATGAATATGATGCGGTGTGGCCACGCTTCGTGGAGCGGCAGCACATGTGGCATGGCAGCGCGTCAAAGCTAAGCTGTGCAGGCAGGCATACAGTGGCTTGAAAGCGGTGCTTCTCGTTCTCTTCAGAAGTGTGTGACCATGCCATGTTCGGTGTGCGTCAAAGCGCATGCATCGAGAGCACATCATGGTGGTGTGTGGTGTGTGGGAATGCACCCTTTTTCTGCGGCAGGTTGTATAGTTTTTGACTAAAAGTGAACGGTCCATCTTCACGTTTCCCCCATCCAAGTTAAATGTGTGTTTTATTGCAAAAAGTGACGAACTGCCGTTAAATAGTCCTAGGGTGCGCAGTATATACATTGAAAAAGTAAAATAAATTGGGTGACAAATGAAGTGTACTTGTTTGTTTAACATAATTGAAATGTATTTTAACCAGTCAGGTCCGGTCACTTGCAGTTTAGTTGGAAGTTGCTGTAGCTGGAATTGGTAATTGGCAGTCTAGTTCAAAGTTGCTGTAGATGGAATAGGTAATCACCGTCATGGTAGCTGTTGCCGCCCTGTGAAAGCGTGTCACCCTCGGTTCCATCGAATGACCAATTTTCTCGCACCTCTTCTCGACAACGCTCGGAGAAACCAGGTCCCACGATGGGGTGATACCGGAGGAACTAAGCTTTCACGCATAATTGAAAAGATCTTCAATGGCAGGGAACTTGTATTAGCAGGCTCTTCCCCTTTATCCATCATACTGATTGCACTGATTGTCACACATTGAAGAATTTCACACTTGAGTGCTTGGCAACGGCATGGTTACCGTTTTCTTCAGTAAAATTTATACATAACAGCTAGCTTAAGTTTTACTGTGTATATAATTGCAGTAGAATCTCAGCACGCAAAATGCTCGTATCGTTCCAAATTTGTATGAACCATAAACAAGTTAAAAGTGATCATGAAGATGAACAAAAACTTTATTGGGGTCAACTACTTCTTGCTGAAAAAAAGTCCATGATGTTCTTATGAACTTACCTGTTTTGATCGCCTCTTCATAAAGTGTCACGGTTTCTTCAGTCATGCAGCTGGCACTATGCTGCAGTCGCAACAATCTGCTCCAATATTCAGTGATTCGCAGCTTTGAAGCGTTGTAATAAATTATGCAGTTTAGGCAGAGAGCTCAGATTGCTCTCCTAATAACCCTTGGAACTTGGACTACCCGCCTCATGTCCAATCGCCAAAACCATTTCAGGGTCCCTTTAATGTATAGCGGTCCTAGTTGTCTTACTTCTGCAGTTTCTGTTCCAACTACAGTATACTCGCGATAATTCAAGCTCTGATAATTCATACTTTTGGTTAACTCAAACAAATTTCAATTTCTTGGTTGGCTTTCTATTCTTCCAATGTTTGAAAGTCTCTTAATTTAAGCTCCGTCATTTGTTTAGTTAATACTTTTTGCAGTTTCATACCAGAAAATATCTGCTGCTTTCCCACTATTATTTAAAAATTTGCATGCTTATGTAATCTTGACACTCTAAAAATAAAAAATAAGAGCCTCAAGTCTTCATAGAATAAGGCTTTGCATGTAAACAAATGTTTTAAATGAAGCACACGCATGGTAAACCATGATGCTTCTTAGCTGATATACAGTGCTTTGTGCTAAAGCTACATATTGCAAATAAGCAGTGTACCTACTATTTTAATAGTAGGTACACTGCTTGGAAATTCACGATTTCTTCAAAAGGTCTGATCAGCAGTAAATGGCCAATTAACTTGCGGACTTTACACCTCTGCTATCTGTTCGTTGGGTGCATTTAGGGTTTATAAATGCATAAAAATTTCTAAATGTGATAAAATGAGTGTGTCACCTTGCTGAGAGTCATATATCCAAGAGCTTCTGGTGATTCAAACTTCTTGATAATTCAAACAAAATTCAGAGGTTCCTTTGAGTTTGAATTATCGAGTCGACTGTAGTCTCGCAATTCGAGTGCTAAGATGCATACCATTAGCCATTAGATACTAATAGCACCTTTGTGATTCACAGGTCAGTAAATCGAGCACTACAACATTCGATACATAACTGTGCTTTTCTGTTGCAGCTTATACAAATACTTTTGCTCTTGGCTCATCTGGTTTTTCTACAGCAGACATCAGTTTATTCAACCCCAATCTAATGAGCATAATATTGATGCAGTTAATCTCTTTTGGGTGCTGCTAATACTGGTTATAACTTTTCTGTGCTATCATCTATGAAGACGCTTTGCTTTATGGACTTCATCTCTCCTTATTAATGTATTCTTGTGTTTTTTTCTTACAGCCTACGGTGTCAATCTTTATTGTACAAAAAGCTCTATGATTTGAATAAGAATGATGTCCGTGAGAACATGCGTGCCCTGACTGAGTTCCAAAAGGTGAGCGCCAAGTCTCGTGTTTTTTTTTTTTTTTTTCATGGTTACATAGTTTTCGTCTTTATAGACTTATATACTTTAAAATTACCTATGTACAATATTCCTACTTTTGGCTATGAATTAAAGTTTTAAAGAAAATTTACCTGGTATGCCGTAGCATGTCATATCTCGACATGTATCACAGGTCCCAACCTCTGTGAGAACATAAACAAACTTGTTTTAGATTGAGTATTTGGTCTGTAACATGGTCATTTAATCTGTTCTGCTTTGCCATTTTTACTGAGAGATGGCATGGTGGAATTCTAGGTGCATATAAAGCAATTCACGACATTTGCTGGTGCAGCCATTGCCTTTTTTTTTTTTTACACAGTTGATGTTTATATACAGTGTGAACCGCTTATAAAATAAGTCATGGGAGTCTTGAATATCCGCACTATAAGCGGTACCATACTATAACCCAAGCAACCTTTTTCAAGGGCTGCAGTTATGCAAAACATGTCGAGCATGCAGCCTCGAGTGTCCAGAACCGCATTGCCATTGAAATGTACCATATTTACTCGAATGTAACGTTTTTTTTTTTTTTTTTTCAAAATTTCTTTGAGGTGATTTGGGGGTCCTTGTTATAATCGAAGCACCTCAAATCGTGCCTTGGCGGTACCGCCCCACTGGTGCCTTGAAATGACCACAACAAACCTAGTGATCTTTCAACCTTGTGCTGGCAACATGTACTGGAAGGGCAAACAGGAGTAAAAAAAGACCCCATTGTAACCGGTCCTGCACTATAAGCAATTATGTTATAAGTGGTCTACACTGTACTTTCTGTGCAGCGTTTATGTGGCTGGAATGCTTCTCGTTGGCCATATGTTAGCGCTTAGCACAATGTTCCCTTCTTGTTGACACAACATCTGTGCCTTGCTTTGCAGTGCCCATTGGGCAAGCTTGCCTCGCCACCCCTGGCTCCGGCAGGCGTCCGCCTGCAGCGGTCCCCGTGCCAGCCGTCTCCACATTCGCCCACGCCTTCACCTGCGGGAAGTGTGGGCTCCCAGAGCAGCGGCTACAGCAGCTGTGAACTGGCCAGCAACGGCCATGGGGGAAGCCGGCAACAGCCAGCGACAGCGGCCACCATGGTGCCAGCCATAGCCCCAGCAGCAGCGGCGCCCTCACCGGGAGCAGTTGCCCTGCCACAGTCCCAGTACCTGATGCTGCAGCGCCAATTGGCAAACCTGACGTGCCTGCACCGTTGCCACGACATGTGGGAGCAGGCAGACTCTCTCACCAGCCGCTCACACTTTAGAGGTGTGTGTCATCTTGTAACGATGATGGTTATGGGGCGAGCTGAGAACGACGGTAAAGGAGCAAGAAGACGAGAGCCATGACCTACCAACTAGCCCAAACCGCCGCTCCTCAAATTATCTTGTAGTCGTACGGGGTTTAGGCGTTCGTTTCGTATGTATTTCTTTGAAGGGTATTGCAAAGGCTACATTCCAAGTTAACCACACTTACTTTATGATTGTTTATTACAAATTACAATTGTTGATTGAAACATGAAGCAGTTGCAGAAACTTTCTGCATGACACTATCCCTAAATCAGAACTTGTTTAATGATAGGTAAGAAGCTTCATGGTTTACAGATGGATTCTTCTCATGAAAGAGAAACTAACCACGTGTGGTATGATGAAGTTAGATGCAGGGATACAGCGTTGACTGATGCATGAGAGGTAATTACAGATCGCAGTAAGAGTGCCCTTATCCTGCAGAGAACTAGAAATGGGCTGACTATAGTTATTTTGGTACTAATGTCTGCATTAGGCTTATGTGTGCATCTTCCTCCACTCCTTTCAACAGAGTTTTTCGAGGACCTTGACAAGGACTGTGGCAAACTGACCCTGCACAGCTCGTGCTCGGAGCTGGTGAAGTACATTCAGGAAGGTGTGTGCCGACTACGGCAGCGGTTCACCACTGGTTCTACGGACACCACGTGATGGGGGCTGTCCCCTGTCGCCGTCACCTGCGTTGCTGCCACCAGCACCGTGAGCTCGATGCCGCACGAGGCACGGCTTTTGTGAACTGTGGCCGTCACGGGTGACTCGGCAGAGGCATTTCACCCCAGTGCTCTTGTGCTGCAATATGTACACATACAAACGACGTGTTTTGTTTACCTTTATTTCTTGTCTCTCGTTGTTGTTCTTTTAATTAGGGCTTCTTCACAACTGTTTCTCAGTGCAACACCCTCACTTCTCTCTGTATTATTAATTTTTTTTTCCCACTTTGCGTTGTGCCCCTTTGGTGGCACAATTTTTTTTCTATTTGTTTTAGAGCCTGTTCTGAGAGCTGTTTGTTCTTGTTGCTGCACATAACCATTGTTGTTGTGGTTGATGTTTGTGTACATAAAAAGTGGGTGTGTGGAAAGATAGAGGCAGGAAAGGAGGAGGAGTGTACATACGAAGGCGACAAGGCAAGCACTGTTTGTTGTTCCTCTCCACAGCCTGTGCTGTTACTTAGTCGTGTGTGCTGCCATGCAAAAAGAGAGAAACGAAGCGCCAGGAAATTGAGTGTCACATGCACAGAAGCAGCAAACAACCGTGGGTGATAGTGCAGGAACGCATGGGGAGGAAAAGCCCAGGGATGCAGCGCCACTCTTTGTTTATAAGAACTGTACAAAAATCATTGTCACGATGCACCCCCGCCCGCTCCCCTGCTCCAGCTTGGCTCTCGCCACGTAGGGGACTCGAAGAGGCCTTTGTCTGTGCAAGGAATTGTAAAGTGTCATCAAAGCGCCCATCAATCGACGTAACCTCTTCATTTCAACGCCCTTCTCCCCAGTGATGTTGCGCACAAAGTTTTCTTGCTTGGTTGGACACGTGGGATGTTAATCGTTCTCTCGTCCCCAGGTGCTCCCTGTTCTTTTTAAGAAGCTTGGGAAAAGGCGTTGGAGACTTTTCTGTGATTTAGGTGGCGCCCTTTTTTTTTTTATCCAACTCTGAGCGGATGAAATGTGCTCAGCACCCCAAGGCAGGCAGGCATTTGTGTCCGGCGTGGCCTCCCACTCCTTAAGTCTGCCCCGGAACGTCCTTCAGACTGCTCTAAAAATGTTGTGTTTTAATAATGTGCAAAGTGTCAATGTAGGGCAAGGCGAGATTTTCCTCTCCCTTCATTTCCCGTAAAACTTTCATTTTCAGTTCTTTTTTTTTTTGTTTTCATATCCCCGTTGTAAATAACACGCGTTGGGGATGTCTGGGCAAAGTGGAAGCCCATGTGAACTGCTGTCTTCACGAAACATGGCTCTACGGTGATTTTTTTGTTGAACACAGCGAGCAGATCAGGGACTTGGCTAAGGGCTGGGAATGCGATCGCAGGGAGAGATATATGTATACACACAACATATATACATATATATATATATTTATATACATAAATTTTTTTTATGCTCTTGTGCAACTGCACTTGAAACAAAGCACAAAGTCGTTTCTCTGCCTCTTTTTTTTTTAATTAGCAACTGCTTTTTTGTAGCTTTGCTTGCCTTTATTTATTTCTCCCACCCTTTCTGCGCAGATATGACCACTTCTTGATGCAGTTTATCTAACACAAAGCTAAGCAAAATTTGATAGCTGACCTGTGAATTCTTTTATTTAGTCATAACACTCATAGGATGTTTTTTTGCACATTGAAACGGGAAACAATAAACATTTTATTGGATGAAGCATTACGGATTATTCTTCTCTCGGGCTGTTGTGCCGTTTTGTTGCATGATTTTCTTGTCTTAGGGCTCGTTTTTATCTGCTTTTAATGCACGGATCTCTCTACTTCTTGCTTTCCTGGGGAGGAGGGGGGTTGCTTGGGGTTCCAGAGGGAAGGGCCAAATCGGTGCGAGGCACTTCTCCGGGAATTGCAAGCCTATGCAAGTCAGAAAGTTGGCTTCCGTCGTCTGTCGCAGACCTTGTAGTAACAGTGATGAGAGCCTGCCTTGGAAATGCCTTGGTCTTTTCACACCTTGCGGCCAGCTGAACTTGTGCCCACAGCTGAGTGAGGGATATACTGCAACTTTCTTGCAGTGACAAAGTGCTTTAATGTCAGAGTATTTTTATTTCTTTTTTTTCTTGGAAGTGCCATAATGTACCTTGTGCAAGAGAGAGGTATGGTACAGACAACAATGCAAAAAAAAAAAAAGTCTGTACTACAAGTGTGAGGATTTTTATTTTTTACTATCGCCTTGTGCTGTGGACATCGGTACTTGGTGAATTGCCTTTTCCTTGTCTTTTGCCACGACTCAGGCACTTTACTTGATGGTAGCAATTTTACAAAAAGCTTTTTCCGAATCTGCTCTCTGTGAAAGGGAGCCCGGTTTCAGCACTGTGGTGCATTGAGGAAATGCATTGCTTGAACTTAGGGAACACTCCCCCCTCCCCCCACGAGACGACTGTTCTCAAGCTGTAGACTACTGGCTGTAGCTGGCTCTCCTCCTGCCTCACATTTTATTTACATAGACAGCCAAGACAACAGATGCAGTTGTAAATTTAATAATATATAGTAGCCACAGCTGTCTAAGGCTGAGCGATATTTAACAAATGGTGAGCAGATTGATATGCAACTGTGCTTTTGCTATTTTTTTACTGGCCTGTAGATGATGACTTTTCATGCTTGATCGTGTTTCTGTTCGATTGGAAGGGGTGGGGTGTAGGGTAGAGGCGTAGGATGCAAGTGGGGTCAAGTAGAACAGTTGCCGATATCGTTAAAAAGTGCATGCATTGCAGACTGCATTGGGTTTTGCCTCTATGCCATGGGTTTTCTTTCCAAGTGATCCACCCCGGCTAATTTCACTCGCGTGTGTATGCATCTTTCTTTTTCTCTCCCTCAAAACGCTGGGCATTCTTCATGCACCTGTTTAGCATGGTCGGTGCTTTTTCTGGACATGCTTCCCTATTGAAAAAAAAAAAAAAAAAAGGTGGAGTTGTGGTTGCACCTGTTCTTCTGCATTATCGACGTTCATGATGTATTGTGGTGGCAGTTTTTTGATTGACACATCTATAATTTCCTTCCTTGCCTGGGGACGTTTGTTAGCAGACAACCCCTGAGGTGTAGCTTTGTTACTGTCCCCTTTTGCCCAGCCCTTTCCTTCTCTGCATCACCCGTATACATATGAATGTATATCTGAACTATATAAATACCTATAAATATATATATATATATCTCCAGAGAATTTTTTTGTTACTTTTGTGTTATCAATGCTGTACATAGATGTAAATATTTTTCCACGTTAGAGGAGTGTGCAAATATTCACATGCCTCCTTGAACCACGAGTAGTGGAGTCATGGTTTTTTCGGAGAGAAATGAGATGAAAAGGATGTATTTGCTTTCTTACAAAAGCTATAAAATATATGCATTTGAAAGGTATTGTGCCTGCTTGTTTTCTTTGTTACCTGGGCCTGTGCCGACCGGACCTGGGCCTGTAACAGTGCATAATAAACACACCATTCAAATGTGTGTGGGAAAAGGGCCATCGGTACACTTTGTATGTTGGTGCACGCACCACAGAATGTTAATGACATTATAACTGAAATCAAGAAGGATAAATGGTCAGGGGCAAGACGTGTAAGGAGAAGCAAAAAAAAAAAATGCTGGTCGTAAGGAGCAGCAGCCTACATTCTAAGAGAAAGCAAATGGGTGAGGCAGAAAGGTAGATGGGCCGATGAGATGAAGTTTGCAATGATAACATGTCCACAGCAAGTACAGGACCGGGCTAATTGGAGAAATATGGCAAAGCCTTTGTCCTTTGTATGGGCGTGTCAGGCCTGTGTTGATGACGGCACTACGGATGAAGGGCACATGCTGGAATATTGCAATTAATCAGATGACAATACCATGATCCCCATCATAAACTTGCAAACTGCTCACCGGTGCCACCCTTATGAAGGAATGAGAAGCTAAAAAAATTTGCGTGTAGGGACCACAGATGCTGCCAGGTGCCGCTGCAACTTGTCCCATAACAGACGATGCACGACTGTCATGGTGCACTCGTGTGTGCGCGTTCCTTTCATTGCTTTTCTAGTTTATAAACTGTATCGCGTGGATGGAGCAATTCACAGATTAAACATCTCAAAGCAACATTCTAGCTGTGAAAAGCACCATGGTGGTTGGTTCTGGGATGTTCACTACCAGACCCCAATCTTTGTGCAAGCGCTCTTGCATCCCTATCTAAGCGCAGGCAAACTAAAGCAATATCCTACACATTACCTGCACAACGCAAGTTTTATTTCCTCATTTTATCTAGTGAAGCTGTGCCCCACCTTGCCACTGCTCAGCAGCTGCAGAAATAATCCAGCCTGCTTACAGGCTGGATTACCGGCTGGAAACAGTACAATGTTCTAACAAGTTCAAATCTGAAACGAAGTTTCTATGACGCTAATAAAGACAATATATGGTACAAATGATGCATACGATGACCCGGGTAAGTTTTCGTGGCCTGCCGATTGCCTTTTAAGCATGTCCTTGTCATACTGTCCACTGATAACGATAGAAGGGAGCAGTTGTGCCATCATTTGACCGTTTTTGGGTCTAGTGAACAGCTGATGTAAGCATGCGACAAAACCGGGTGATTACTGCAGCATTGTTACGGATTTTTTGCACTTACAAATATAGCAGATTTTCGCAGTTATGGCCACTGTTCGAGCGTTGCTGTCACATGTCTTACATCGATGATGCGACCTTGGTTTTATTACTGGAGCACGACATATGAACCTTACGAGACAACACCTTTTGCGTGCTTCATTTTGATAATGGGAGTAATGTTTCCAAGAAACTGTAGTATCATTTATTGTCTAAAGCATGCGTTCTAACTAGCTAAATAATTTGGACGGTCCCTATTCTATTCCATGAGCTTTTAACATTGGTATTTTCCACATGGTACTTTTCACCAATAATTCACTATTCCTGATGCTGCCGGTGGTTTCATTTGTCAATTATTTCATTCACGTCATACATGTTATGTATGATGTGATGTATCAATCGACGCACACCAAAGGCCCCTGTGACACGTACGGGCATAGGTGGTAATTATTTTCGGACAGTGGGGGTTGTGTGGGTGGGTGGAGGGTGTACTTTCTTGATATAAAAGGGGGCTGGGCAGACCAAATGTGGATTTTACTTCTGTATGCCATGCCAAAAAAAAAAAGTTGGGAGGGGGGGGGGGGTGAAGTCTTCTGGCTATGCCACTGTGGGCATGCCCTCTTCTGCCTGGCACCAGAATTCACCCTCAGGTTGACAAGTCCCCTATGACTGCTACAAATGAATATAAATTGCTTGCTCAGGGACAAAATTGCAATTTTCATTCAGATTTAACTCTCAAAAACATTTTCAAGTGGCGGTATTCACACAACGGCAAGAAACAAATAAGTAAGCTTGTAGTCATGTCGTATTCCCAGAATCAATGGTAGGCTGAAGCACCAGCTGTAATTATTTCAGTCCAAACATTGCTTTTGAAGGATCAGATGCTAATACAGGAAAGTGTAACCTGCAACGAAACTGTTGTTATTTGAGGGGCAATTTATTGCACAAAAGCGTCAACAGTGCTTTCCAGAGTAGCTCTAGTAAAAAAGGACAGTACAATCAAAGGGCATAAAAGAGTATATAGATGCGCAAACTACCTAGCACCACTTGCATTACCATGGGCCCATCAGCATCACATCTAATGTAACTACTGGCAGAACTAAAATTCAGCCCCACTTAAAGGAAAACTTAAGTCATACATGTTATGTATGACTTAAAGGCGGAGATGGCGTAGTGGTTAGAGCATCCGCCTCGCATGCAAGAAGTCCGTGGTTCAACCGGATTAAAAAAAAAAAAAAATCCGCGTGTTTATGGAACTGCATTAAGAGGCCTGGGGTGCGGCCTCACCGGTAATCACTGCCGGGAACGCACTCTTTCACCAGAGAAGGATTGGCCACCCTGGTGCAGTATCTGGCCACTACCTCCCACATGCATACGTCAAATAACTCACGGCCCTCAGTCCCCAGCAGCTGCGAAGCAACTGACCACGATGGCGGTCAGATCTGCAATGCAGCAGAGGGTGCTAAGAATCTCTGGATCCGGACAGGCCGCCATTGGAACCTGAGCTTGGCAACGTTTAACGCTAGAACCTTATCTAGTGAGGGAAGTCTAGCTGTACCATTCGAGGAGCTAGAGGGTGTTAAATGGGATATAATAGGGCTCAGTGAGGTTACGAGGACAGATGAGGCCTATACGGTGCTACAGAATGGGCACGTCCTTTGCTACAGGGGCTTGGCAGACAGAAGAGAACTGGGAGTGGGGTTCCTAATTCACAGAAACATAGCTGCCAACATATAGGAATACTATAGCATTAATGAAAGGGTGGTAGGTATCGTAATTAAACTGAATAAATGATACAAGATGAAGGTAGTACAGGCTTACACACCTACATCCAGCCATGATGACGCTTCAGTTGAAAGATTCTATGAAGACGTGGAATCGGCAATGAGTAAGGTAAAAACACAGTATACTATAGTGATGGGTGACTTTAATGCAAAGGTAGGGAAGAAGCAGGCTGGAGACCAGGCAGTAGGAGATTATGGCATTGGTACTAGAAACGCCAGAGGAGAGCTACTAGTAGAATTCGCAGAACGCAATAATTTACGGATTTTGAATACCTTCTACCGAAAAAGAGAAAACCGCAAGTGGACATGGAGGAGCCCTAATGGCGAAAATAAGAACGAAATAGACTTTATAATGAGTGCACGCCCAGGCGTCATGCAGGACGTGGAAGTGGTTGGCAAGGTACGATGCAGTGACCATAGAATGGTACGGTCTCGAATTCGCCTAGACTTAAAGAAGGAACGACAGAAACTGATACGCAAGAAGCCAATCAATGAGCTAGCACTGAGAGGGAAAGTACAGGAATTCAAAGTGTCGCTGCAGAACAGGTACTCGGCTCTTAGTGAGGAAACCAATCTTAGCGTAGATACAATGAATGATAATCTGACGAGTATTATTACGGAGTGCGCAGTGGAAGTTGGAGGCAGGGTAGTTAGACAGGACACTGGCAAGCTTTCCCAGGAAATGAAGAACCTAATTATAAAGCGTCAAATCATGAAAGTGTCAAGTACAACAGACAAAATAGAACTGGCAGAGCTTTCGAAGTTGATTATTAGACGTAAGGTATGCAATGTAAGAAGGTGTAACATGGAGGGAATTGAACACGCTCTGAAAAACGGAGGAAGCGTCAAAGCAGTGAAGAGGAAACTTGGGATAGGCAAAAGTCGGATGTATGCACTAAGAGACAAAAAAGGCAAAATAACTACCAATATGGATAGGATAGTTAAAATAGCGGAGGAGTTTTACAGAGATCTGTACAGTAGCCGAGACAACCACAACCTTAATAATATAAGAACTAGCAGTAACCCAGATGACACCCCAGTAGTAATGATAGAAGAAGTCAGAAAAGCTTTGGACAGCATGCAAAGAGGCAAAGCTGCTGGTGAGGATCAGGGAACATCGAATCTGCTGAAAGATGGAGGACAGATTGTGTTAGAAAAACTAGCCACCCTGTTTACGAGGTGTCTCCTGACGCGAAGAGTACCAGAGTCTTGGAAGAACGCTAGCATCATCTTAATACATAAGAAAGGAGATGACAAGGACTTGAAGAATTAAAGGCTGATCAGCTTGCTCTCTGTAGTATACAAGTTATTTACAAAGGTAATTGCTAACAGAGTAAAGAAAACATTAGAATTCAATCAAGCAAAGGAACAAGCAGGATTTCGAACAGGCTACTCAACAATTGACCACATTTGTACTATCAATCAGGTAATAGAGAAATGCTCAGAGTATAACCAACCACTATACATAGCCTTCATAGATTACGAGAAGGCGTTTGATTCAGTAGAAATATCAGCCGTCATGCAGACACTGCGGAATCAGGGCGTAGATGAAGTATATATAAACATTCTGGAAGAAATCTACAGGGGATCAACTGCTACCATAGTGCTTCATAAAGAAAGCAACAGAATACCAATCAAGAAGGGTGTAAGGCAGGGGGACACAATCTCACCAATGATATTTACCGCTTGCTTACAGGAGGTTTTCAGAAGCCTAGAATGGGAACAGTTAGGAATAAGAGTTAATGGAGAATACCTTAGTAACCTGCGCTTCGCCGATGACATTGCATTGCTGAGTAACTCAGGGGACGAATTGCAACTCATGATTACGGAATTAGACAGGGAGAGCAGAAAGGTGGGTCTTAAAATTAATCTGCAGAAAACGAAAGTAATGTACAACAACCTCGAAAAGGAGCAGCGCTTCGAGATAGGTAATAGTGCACTTGAAGTTGTAACAGACTATGTCTACTTAGAGCAGGTAATAACCGCAGAGCCGAACCACGAGAT